GCACATAAAAAAGGTCTATTACCAAGTTGTAAATTGTCCTCTCACAAAAAGGAATTTCGACTGCAGCAATTCTTCCCATCTTTGCGCATAATAGCAGAAGCCCCCACCGGCCCTCTAAACAAGAGGGATTTTTTTTTCTTTCTTTCTTCTTTCTTTTCTTACTCGAGCATTAAATGTTATATCCTGAAGCGCAAAAGAGCAGACGTCCTTTATAATGCTTTAGCTGCGTCATAACGCAAATTGTAGACAATAACATATAAAAAAGAAAAGTTTAGAAGGCAAAATGTATTTTATAATGGAGAAAAGTCTAAATAAAAATGATGCAAATTCGCTTAGAGACATTTATCTCCAAATATAACAACAAAAAACACAAGAAATAGGATGAGGGGTTTTTTTTTTTTGCGTCGACGAAATTCAGTATTTTCCTTTTGTTTTATTTTTTTTTCATGCGGCCTCAGTTGAAACCAGCCAGGTTATTCTGCTTAAATCTAACGTGCACTGGTGTGTAAATAAAAATAAAACAAATGAAGAATGGTATCCTGATCAAAACTCATAAACAAACGCACTGATTGCCAGTTATTATTCTGGATATGTTTAATATGCGTAAAGGCCCGTGTGTGTGTGTGTGAGTGTGTGAGTGTGTGTGTTTCTCAGGCCAGCTGCTGCTCATAAATAAAGAGACTAAATTAGAGAGAATTACATTTTTGCTATGAACAATTTCTCTCATCATCCAGATTTAAAGGGTAAATAATGCAGCTGCAGCATATGTGAGCAAATACATTTTTATATATATTTTAAAGAAGGAGGGAAATTTCTTTTATTTCCTTCTCGTTCATCTGGTGGCACGCCAGAGTCAGCACGATGCGATTTATAGTCGGGCTATGGCTCTGGTTTCCTGTCTTATAGCTGCGTGTGAGTGTGTGTGTGAGTGAGAGTAACACAAGAGCTCAGGATTTGTTGCATTACACAACTATGACATTACTGTAACTCAATATTCCAATGCGGTCTGTACTGGAGGGAGAAGGGAGGGCAAAAAAAAAAGAAAAAAAAAATAGATTAACATCGCTTTCCGCGGTGCAAAGATACAGTTTGTCTTCTCCTTTTACATTCATACTGCTACCGCCTTTATTTGAGGTTACTGAGAGTCGCCATGTTGCGCAGGAACAATGATGTTACCTCCAGAGTGTCACACTGTGGGCAGAACTAACAGCACCTGCATAGGAGGGTTACGCATCCAATCAGGCCTTTCAAATAAAAAAATAAAATAAAACACAAGCACCAAACTAAATCAAACAAATCCTCCCTAATAAAATAAACTCCAAACTGCGCATCTGTTTAGATTAAAATCCCTTAAAAAACAGAAATCCAGAGAGGCGTGCAGCCCCTGGATGGGTGGGGGTGTGAGTGTTTGGTGCATGGGTGCGATTTAATTGCAGACAGAATAGCGGTGGCAGACTACAGCTGCACCACTGTCAGACACCTACAAGACCAATAAAGTTGTGGCAAACACCAGAGCAGCTCTGCTCGGAGGGGCAGGTCTCTGTGTTTGCACCGTAATCCCTCAAATCCAGCGAGCTTCTCCTCCTCTCTCTCCAACTGGAGACTAGAAGGTGAAATTAGCTTCCTTTCACAACAACAACAAAAAGCAGTCAGATAAAAATCGGCCATCACCCTGTAAAATTAGCTTTTCTACGTGCAGTTAAACGCTGATATCCTGAGGCTTGTTTAGGCTTAAACTGCTGAATTGGAAAATAATAATTATGAAGTGAAACTATACGAGAGCGAATTTTTAACTATCCAAGAAATCTGACGTGCGTAAAAAGAGAGAAACCATATGATACTGTGACTGAATCAATTTAGCCTTTAATACGTGGTTTGTTTTCATCACAGAGCTCATTTGTGCTTCTTCAGTCTCCGGCAATAAACACAAACATACAGAGACAGATATCAAAGAAAAATATAATTCAGTGTGAGTTTTGATCCACATTATGTAGAACGCATTGATAATTCCAGAGCTGCATGTTTGTTGTTTTCCCCCAAACATGTGGATTTAGATGCAGAGGCCAAAATAAAGAAAAGATTAGAATAAATAAATAAAATAGACCCAAGCTTGATATTCGTGCCAACAACACTGATTCTGCGCAAAAACAAATCCTCCCAACACCACCTCTGATCCGCTGGAGGCACCTACGCCAGCGTGATCCAACCGACTCGATCTATATTGTTTCATTCACGTTTGACGCAGTGCCATTCCGTGTTCCTCCGCATCGTCGCCCCGTATTCCTCCGCAGCCTGGTTCTCTCAGTCACAGTTCACCCTGCAATGTAGAAGCCCTGCTGCAAACTGCGTCACACACACACCAAATAGTTGGATAAGAATCTAAATGAAAAGCACACTGCTAGAGACGCATTAAAATATCTGCTGGTTGGATTCATAATCAGTTAAGTGAAGCTTTCTTACAAAGCTGGAGGATGGATTTTCTGATTTACAGCATGCAGCAATTATTTAATATGAAGCTGATGAAATTAAATTAAAAATAAACGTATTGATATTTGGTTTATTGTCTTTGCAAGTTGACAAATAAAAAATATAAACATGCCAAGCAATTAAATGTTGCTGGGAGAGAAAAAAATTGAACTACAGTTTAATAAAATAAATACACTGTGCATATTAATAGCTGTAATTACGCACCATAATGTGGAAATTGATTTTTCAGGGTTTGGGTTTTTTTCCCCCATCCATTTTGTAATTTTTTTAACAGTGCTCTGGAAAGGCCCGAGGATCATTAGCCAGAGTGTGTTTCCAATTTGTGACACTTTTTCACAGCCAGCATCTTGGCCTGCGTGCAGCCTGGACAGAAGAAAAAAAAAAAAACAGCAACACAAAGTGTGAGGAAATGGAGCAACAGCGCATCTACGTGTGTAACGTGACTGCAGCTAATGACGAGAGACTGAAAATAGCTGACCCTGCTTTGGGTTTGCAAGTAAAAGAGGCGCATGACTGTAACGGCGGCAGCGAGGATGACTGCATGGAAATTGGGACATGGAGAGAAATTCCTGATGGCACCTCATCATAAAGAGTCGTGAAAAAATAAATGTCACAGAAGCGCCTGTTTGCTCTTCAGCTACAATAACAACAAGGCTGCTAAACTGCTGCTCTGAGCAAAAAAAAATAAAAAATAAAAATCCCCAATTGTTCCCCACGGTCTTATCACCAGCTTATCTTTCTTTCCTGTGTGCGCGCAAACGGTTTGGAGACGTTTCTCACAAATGAAGAAGCTGAACATTATCCCGGGGATTATGCTTTCAGTCCACTTGTTTATGGGCCGTGAACTCATCACAAATGCAGCATTAATACTTCAGATCAGGAAACAAAAAAATCAATTCAGCAGCATCTCTAATTGTTGAAATAGTTTGGATCCATCTTGTGCGTCGCCGCTGGCTGCCAGTGTTTGGATACTTTGAACAACTGGGGCCCTCATGACAATCATCACTTTTAATAGTGATGACTAAAGTAATGTTCACTTGATCTCCTCAGGACATAAAGCAGCTCACTGCTTCCCACTGCTCACCGTCCCTTCTCTGCAGACTGCAACGGAAACACAAGCAGCGAGAAAAGCACATGCGCCCCAGTCCTGTTCAAAGCTTGTGCAACATCTTTGCAACTAGTTAGCAACGATGGATGTAAAATAAATGCTGCTGGTGTTTTATTTCTGCTCGTGGGAATCAGTTTTGGGGTCACAAAAACCTTAAATGTGGCCTTTTATTTTATTCTATTTGACGGCTTCTTTACCATGTTAGGACTGGTTCTGTGCTGTCTTCTCAGCATCTTTTACAGAAAATCAATGGCATATTTAGCACCACTTCTTTCAATCATTTGGTTACATTTCAGCATCATGGAGCTTGAAATAAAACAAACAAGGCTGCGGAGTGGTTTAAGTTGGTTAACTGCACTTTTGAAAAACTAGTCAGCCGTTTATGCGCAATTAAGAAACCAAAACACAACCGTGCTGGTGAGTACAGAATGCTGATGAAGTCCAGACCAGGGTGCAACCTTTCTAGAATTGTTTCTGTTCTTTTATTGTTTTTTATTTTTTCCTCCTCATACAGTAAATTTACGATGGACCGAAGCTGCTCCTGACTTCACCAAACACTTTTTCCCCCCCCTCTGATGATTAGAAGTGGCTGCTCTGTTTGTGCAAATGTGTGACATATTGCTGAGATTATGGGGCCCTGGAAATCTGTCACAGGAGTTCAAAAACTGCAACAGGCGATTAAAAGACATAAACTCTCAACTCTGCAACTGCTAAATAAAAAAAAGGACTCTTAAACAGACGCGTTTACCAAGACACAATGCCTTTATCAAATAAATCAACGTGGAGAACGGTATGGTCCATGTGTTGTCTGCATGTTCCAAGCTGCTGGAAAGCGGAGACTTAAAGGACAACATCGCCCTCTAGCGCTGCCGAGAAGCTTCCAGGGAAGGTAAACAGAATGTATATAGAATTACTTTTTCCCTCAGTTTCGAATTAACAAGCGCCAGAAGCAAAACATACATGTATAAATTACGCACGACATGCTTCGTGGCAACCTTTAGATTCAGCCCGTGAGGTTTAAAAAACTGGAAGGTTTCAAATAAACTCATCAGAAATACTCCAACAGCTCCACCAGTCAAAGTGAAGTTTTGTTTCCCATCGGTGGGAAGTGCAGTTGATGAATAAACGTGACCATTAAGGTGGGGGGTGATTTCCTCTGAAACAATTCATCGACCAGACACCCTGTGGAAAAGTGTCTACGTTGTGTTTGTCAGCAACAGACGCAAACGCCCCAAAAGAAAAAGGAATTTTCAAAGGAGAGCGTAATTACTGGCCAGGTCCCATAAACTCATTTAGGCCAGACGTCTAGCCATTTCTATAGCTTTATTGGACCGCGCTTCTTCCTGCTTTAAAGCAATTGTTGGTACATGTTGGACAATAAATTGGAAATCCGCCGCAACACCTCTCCCAATCGTAAACACTTTATTACTTGTAATTCTACGTTTTTAAATCCCACCGTTACAAAATAATAAAGGAAAGACAACAGAAAAGCGAAATGTAACAGTGCTAATGAGAAAATGAAACAGGGTTAAATATTTATGTCATACACGGCTCCTAAAGCTGGAGCAGCCTTTGCGTAAAAAGGGGCCTCGGTGGATATTTTTTTGGAATTAAAAAAAAGAAAATTTAAATGAAGCAACCCGCCAATAATCCAGAAACATCTGAATTTTTCCCCACCTGTATTTTCTGTGTTTAGTGGTGCTTAAAATTAAATTTACCATCTTACTTTGGTTTGTTAAACACACGCGTAGTTTCCCAATACACCTCATCGTTAAACGCTTCTTTAAAGTCAGTGAACGAGTGTGTTTGTGATAAGAAAATCCCGTGTGTGTGTCTCTGTGTGTGTGTTTGTGTACTGACACAGACAGCAGTCAATGCAGTTGCTGTGAAAATGTTTTATATACAACTCCAAATCCTTAATAACTAGAAAAGCAAGAGGCACGTTTCTGCTGCGTCAACATCCCAGTTTGCGTAAAATTGTAAAAAATAAAATAAAATTCAGGACACTACTGGACAGAGCTTGTCTTGTGTCACATCAAGGCAAATTCCTCCATGCGTGAGGCATATTTGCCCAATGGCACTGACACTTTATGTTATAGGATATCTAAAAAAAAAAAAAAAAAAAACAATAAAAGTCAAATGGCTACGGAGGCTCCTACCAAAAGAAATTGAATTGTTCACATGGCTTCCTTGGTGCAAACGTCAGAATGCGTAAAATGGCACCAGCAGCGAGCTTATAGCTGCTCCTTGCTGCTCCTCTCTCTGTTCATCTTCTTCATTTTCATCCTCCTGTTCTGGAACCAGATCTTCACTTGTCTCTCCGTTAAACTGAGTATGCGGGCCACTTCATAGCGCCGGTCTCTTGTCAGATACATGTTGTAGAGGAACTCCTTCTCCAGCTCTAAAGTCTGATATTTTGTGTAGGGACACCGCTTCTTTCTCGTTGAGCGTGCATGAATCCAGTTTGCTGCAGGGTTGTCTGTAAATCAGGGGAAGATGTTAACACACATGTGATGGGGATTATTCTAAATTCTATTTTTCATTATGAACATGAATGATGTCAGTAAATGAATCCCAAATGGAGGTTTGCTGAACTGTGAATGTTTACTCTCCACTATTCTCTGTATTGATAAGATTCCCACCAAACAGATGAAAACAAATCAGACTAATATCAGGGATAAAGTCTCCTCAGGTAGAATCTGATCGAAAAAGGAGCAAATGTGTATCTACTTTGGGTGTCCTGTGACATGAAAAACATTAGGATCCCTGCAATAACCCTTGTAGGGCGGGTTTTTCCCCCTTTCAGAGCCACGGTATAGTACGAGACACTTTTATAGGTTAGTAAAACCTCCAGTTTTACACACCCAGCTCATACAGTTCTTCGGGTTGTAAATCAGCACCGGCTATTTCGTTTACTTACTTGGGTCAAGTTGTTGTTGTTTCTCCTCTTTGGGCTCACTGTGGCTCGAAAGCTCGCTTCCACTGTGCTCCTTCGTCGCCTTTTCTGGACACTCCGATACTCCACAAGCGAATTCACCGGCGAGCGGCCGAGCTTCTGCTTCCAGCGAGTCGCACTCTGTTGCCTGTTTCGCCGGCAGGACCTCCGGCTTTGTCCCGTACGGCCGACTGCCGGGGTGGAATCCGGCGAAGGAAACGTGGTTGGAGATGGGGTCCATCCAGGAGCGCACGCCAACATATCTGCCGTCCGACGCGGGCAGATGGGACTGGTGGTGGTGGTGATGGTGCACGTACGGGTGGTAGATCCCCTGAGGGTGAACCGAGGACCAGGACGAGGAGAAAACGGCGGACTTTGGTGCAAAATTACACGAGGAGAAGTCTGCGTTGTCCCCAGCACCTGACGGCCTCGGGGTCATCGTGTGTGGAGCCTGGATAAAGCGCGCACCGTACACATCCTCCGGCTCCTGCCCCATGATAGCGTCCACATAGCAGTTACTGAGAGTGCCACTGGAAGACATTTTTGATCTCTTCCTACTCATATAATATGGGTTGCACTGTTACGGGAAGCTTCCCTCTATGAACAATCATAGTATTTTTGCTGGCCTGCATCTACAGGGATTGGTTACATGGATCACGTGGTCATATTTACCAATACAGCGAGTAAATCAATCCTGCCCTTGCTCTCCTTCTTTTCTTTTTTTTTTCGTCAGGTTTAATTTAGCTTTTCATTTCACAAATAATAAAAAGCTCCCATCTGATGTGACTGGAGGGGGAAAAAAAAACAACCGCTCAAATAATAAAATGCGTTTTTTTTTCTCGCTCTCTCTCTCAGTATGCAGCTGCAACTAAACATCACAAAAGGAATAAGACACTTTCTCTCTCCTCACACACACACACACACACACACACTGAGAAAGTCCACCAACACGGATTCCTTGTATCTTAAAGCTCGAGAAAACTCTTCTAATATCGTCCTGATACCCTCAATGCTAGTAAAATGGTTTATAGACTTACAGAGTCCTCGTAAAATAGATGTAATAACACGCTGTAAAATAACAGACGCCATCGCCGCTCAACAATGCGGTGTGTCCATTGTTAATATTTGGCAAGGAAACATATTTTCTGGGTAGGTTTCTTCTTTTCTTTTTTTTTTAAGTCGGAAAAGGCAGTTGTGAAATTATTGTGTCCATTCAAAGGAGAGCAATAATGTATCAATAAATGTTTTATGAGGTGCGTGTGATTATACATGCCGTCAATAAAATAAAATAAAAATACTTAGAGAGCTCCGTGTGAGTGTGTGTTGCTATCTGATGGGTGTAAATTAAAAGGAATGGCTTCTATATTTTTGGCTTATTTTGGAAAGATATATGTACATTTTTGGGGAGAATTGTGCTTTTTGACGGGATAGCTCCAAACCTCCAGTAAACAACAAAATGAACTTTTTAAAGGAAACCGTCAGGATTGAGGTCAAATCCGCAGCCTCACTTCACATTTATATCATTTTCATCGCAATTCTAACTATGTTTTGTGAGCAAATGTGAAGGTATTCTGCCCAAAAACAGAGGCCGATGTCGCTCGGTAGGATCACAGAGTTGATTATTGGCTGCAAATTTGAGCTTGAACATAACCTCCTCTGTCTTAGAGTCCTAATAGACTATTAGTTTCGTTATAAACAGGCCCGAACATAAAAAAGCAAGACTAGATTTCATGACCTCCGCCTTCTTTGCGTCTCTCTGCTGCACTTTTATTTTCCCACACAAACAAGTTTTGGAAACGATCGACAAAGAAGGTTGACATTTTCTCTCCTTTTTTTTTTCTAATTTCACAGATTTCAGTTTGTAGTTTTGTTTTCAGTGAGCTGGACTGTGTTTAAAAGCAGGAGAATTATTTGAGCAAAACTCCTGGTTGCACATAAACAAAATATTTCAAAGTGTTTTTCTTGCAGCTCGTCGTTGGATGAAAGTTGCAGCACAATTCCAACTATTTAGTGAAATTAGAAACACATTTTTAGGACGGAATACTGAAGCTTTTCTTGTACTCAAATGTAACAAAATGTTCTTTCCCAGCTTTTTTTCTCCTCTCCTCATTTATAACCATTTTACGCAAAAACACCGCGCGCGTCATTGCGCATTAAACACCAAAGGTTTCACCAGTGCGCAAAGCAAATTACTAACAATTGAGAATGATCAACCGCAGCACGAACACATACAAAAACAAAATTCTTTGACAATATATTTATTGCAAGATACATGCCACAAACATGCAATTAATTCACAGATTAAACATCGTTGTGTTTTTTTTTTCCCACCACAGAAACATTTCACTACTGAGCAACATGGGCACTCACTGTAAAAACAAATGTTGCACTATACGACAATAAATGTGCTTTGAAGGCTGAAATGGAGGAACTCTTTTTTTCTTCTTTTTTTTTTTGCACAGCTCGCCAGCTCCACACAATAGAATGTCTCTTGGAGGAGAGAGAGAGAAAAAAAAGTAAGAACTTCTCCAATAATTTAAGACCAAAACAAACAAAAAAATAAAAATAAAAAATAAAAGTGTTACCCTGTGATAAAATAAAACAAATACACGACGCCACACAACGTACTAAAATTGGCACAGGCCTTGGATATAGCTATATATAGTCACAGTTTCGTTGAAGTTTAAGATAAACGTCCAATGCCACTAAAGCATCCAACTGAACATGAGGGAAGAGGAGGAGGAGGAAGGAGGAGGAGGAGGGAGGAGGAGAATTAAAGGCAGCTATGAACCACTGACTGATACATGCGAGCTCACGAAAAGGTGAGATTTGAGGTCAGTTCACGGATGCGGTTTTCCCTGTTCATTTTCTTCAGCTTCATCCTGCGGTTCTGAAACCAGATCTTGACCTGCCTGTCGGTCAGGTTGACGCTCCTGCTGATCTCTAGGCGGCGCTCTCGGGTCAGGTACATATTGAACAGAAACTCCTTCTCCAACTCCAAGGTCTGGTGCTTTGTGTAGGGGCACCTTTTCTTTCTGCCACTTTTCGCTGTTAACCAGTTGTTCGTCAACGAGTCACTCTTGCAGTCTGTGAGGATTCCAAAAGAAATCAGAAATAAAATAAAATATATATATTTAAAAAATAATCAGAGATACACAACAGTATTTCAGCGACGCACTCGACCTTTCCTTCTTGAACACAATCTCATCTGCTGCTTTTGGATTTCACCGCTGGGAAATAACACTCAATATAAATGCCTTCCCCTGCATAAATAAAAATGCAGGAGGGATGCTGTTATGACATGCCACCGCTAATAAAACAAAAATTAAATGTAATCCCAGCTGATCCGAGCGCACGCCAGGAACACATCTTTTACACAAGTTAAAAAATTACCACACTTCTATTAATTTTATAGGCGCTAAAAATGAATCAACGTGTAATTAAATAGTTAAAATCATCATGGAGTAAAGTAGTTTTTTTTGCAGGGACCCAAAACATGCACAAATATTTGAGTGACTTCATTTTAAAGTTTGCAAAAAAATAATTAGGAGAAAGAACTGATTAAATCGTGAGAGCAGCTTGGGGGTAACTTTTCAGTTCCTGGAAACTCTTCAAGCTGCACAAATAAAGCGAGATAATGCTCTAAAAAATGCATATAAATGTAAATATCTTCCAGGAAGGGGACGCAGGCTGCATGCTGCATGGTAAAGCCATTCTCTCTGCTGCCTATTACTGCAACCTGAGAAAGACTCTCATTAAACATTACGACTTTAGGGTTGTTTGTGTTTTATACTTGGTTTTATGATGCTGGAGCCTTCTCAGCGCAGCGCCACAAGATAAAAGCTTTCATTGTAGCCAACCCACCTTTCCCTTCCTTGTGGAGCAGCTCAGGGCTGGACACAGGAGCCTCCACTGAGCAGCTTTTCTCCTCCGAGCCCGACTTGGGATCCGGGCTTTCTTCTGCGGGCACCGGCGTTCTTGTGGTCTCTGGCTTTTGCGGGACGTCCTCGATTTTCTTTTCCACTTCTGCAAAATTAGAAGGCGCCGACGAGGGCTGCGCCTTCGGGGTGACCCGGCTGAGCTGCATCAGTGTCGGGTTTGGACTCGGCGGCTCATGGCAGTAGTTTTCCTGATGCTTCCCGTTCGCATAAGTTTGGCTCAGTCTGAAATAGCCCGGAACCGGGATCTCTGGACCATCGACTGGACAGGATTCGGGGATAACGTTAGAATATGCGGGGACTTCTGTCGAGCTGACTTTTTGTACTCTCTTATCGGAGTACATGCAGCAGTTACTCTCTTCCTTTATGCTCTGTGAAAATGTACAGTTTGACATCTGACTGGGCGGCTCTATTCTGCAGGGTCTACTCGGATCAGTCCAGTTATCTATTTGAGGTATGTACGAGTGGACATTCATGCCCATAGTTTGGTGGTTGACCTCCCCTCTTTTGCCGAAAGACGGCAGGAGTCCACAGGTTTGCATTCCGTAAGTTCCCATTTCTGAGCCAGACGGCATGTACATGTTGCTGTTGGAGTAAAAGCTGTCCGTCCTGCAAGCACCAATTAGAGAGTCCACTAAAAATGTGTTTGCCGCAGGAGAGCTACTGGGAAAGGACATTTTTTGGGGTTAAGCTCTTTAGAGGAGAGAGATGTCCTTTGTAAGCTGACATATCTAAGGAAAAACAATCTGTAAGTCAGGATGCCTCCCGACCACATGACAAGCCCACCAATGAGATTTGAAAATGGCCTTGAGACGCAGCCTCCTCTGCGCACACGCTCGCTCTGCGGATGACGTGGTCAACAGCGACACCTACAACACGGACTTGAAATTGGTTTTGCGGACTCACGCAGAACAGCGGGGGCATCGCGGGACTTCAATAAAGCTGAAGCAATCGCGTTTAAAAGACTGTTTGTAACGCCGTTTGTGTCATTTCGGATCAACAAGCGACGCTCCGTGAAGCGTTTTAATGCGCAAAATCCCAACAGGATAGAAACGCGTCTTTGTGCTGCCAAACCGTGTGTGTGTGTGCGTGTGTGTATGTGTGTGTGTGTGTGTGTGTGGTGCAGCCTTCACGGCGCATTGGCACAACTGCAGACTATTTGGAAAGAAGAAAAAAAACAAAACAACTGACTATAATGTTATTTTTACCCACATGAACCCTTCACATGAATCCAAACCCACCAACGGGAGCGCGCACGTTCACTGTATTTGCATATATTTCACTCTGTCTAATACATTCCATTCAAAACAAAAAAGAATAAAGTTGGGGAAGAAATCTAAATACACAGCTTGCTCTCTTCATTTTTCTTTAATTTAAGGCATGCTAATTGCTTTAATTACGTGGCCTATTTGCACTGGATTTTTGTTGTTTTGGGTTGCGTTTTTATAATTACGCAGCTAAAACATTCGATAAAGAGACAGAGCTCGTTTAAATCTAATGTGAGATACAAGTATTGACAAACCAAAAGGTAAAAAAAAGTGGATCCACCCTTGACTGACTTCATGCATGAAGGTCAACGATTATGGTTCTGCAAAGCTTCCACAGTTAGCAAATAACCCCCCCAAGGTAGAAAAATGCAAAGTATTATTTGCTAAGATCACAAAGAAACAAGCTTTACTTTCATTTGTAGTCACGAGCATATTTTCGACCAAGTTGGAAATAACCTGCTGGAGGCGGAGGCGGTGTGCACACAGTCTGCATGGGGCTTTATTTTTTTTGCTTCATTGTTTTTACTCTGCAAGGAAGGCAAATGTGTGTACGATAGAGAACCCTGTCTGCTAAACTGCAGGAGGAAAAAAAAAAAACATTCCCCCTGGAAAAAAAAAAAAAAAGGCCGCAATGCCTGCAAAAAAAAAGACTCCACAGGTCTTAATAACAAAGAAACAAACAGAATAAATGCAGCTGGGAGTGAGAATATATTCGAGATCAGTGCGAAAAACTCTAAATAATCAATTTTGGAGAGGATGAGGCTCATCTCAAGCATCCTAGAGAATAATCATTGGTTGTAGGTAAACATGATTGCAAATCATCTGAGCATCACAGGATTAAATTAAAGCAAAAATACAGTTTTGCTATTTAAAAGGAAGAAACGCAAAAATCAAACGAGACAACTTGGACATCACTTTGTTTTTAATGATCATGTTTCTATGATAATAATAATGACAACTGCGCAAAGATAACACTGCTATTATTCCATATACCGGGAAAACAAACCTATTAATGTGGGAGTATATCCATCAGGGTGAAATCAACAATTCAGACACGCATACAAAATATACACAAGACTCGACTCAAGGAATATTTTTAACTAAAAATAAAAATAAAGAGAGAACTAAAACGATGCGCGGACTACGCAGTATTATTGCTGATCGTTATTATTACCACCTGTAATGATATTAATAACAATGTCAAAGCAAATTCCAGCAGATTCGATGATATTTAAAGCATAACAATAGAGCATATACAAATAAAGCATACAAGGGTTAAATTAAAAAACAGAGAGAGAGAGCGACAAATGGTTTCAAACAAAACCCGAAAACTTGGAATTGTAGCATCTATGTGTTTTTTGGGCGGAATATCTGTGAGTTTTCTGTCAGTTATATGCGGGTTATACAGCAGCGAATTAAAATGAAATGAATTCGAAGCATATGTATTTGAATATTAACAACGCAATAATATTTGGAGCCTGCAGAGAGAGATATCAGAGGCCTGCAGGTGAACATCTGAGGCTTTACGACGAGGATGACACGAAGCAGAATTATATTTCTTTTGTTTCCAAACGCACGAACATGATATGTAAATGTGATTGCTGCTTGGAAGAAAGAGGAATTACATCCCCTTGGAGTGGATGTGGAGAGGGGGGAAAAAAGGTGTGTTAAGATTAGATATGTTCTTATTTCTTTGTCTCCAGAGGAACTATGAGCTGTACGAGTGAATGTATAGATTTGGAAAAAACACACACACACAAGTGCCTTTGGGGTTTTCTCCTTAATTAAAAAAAAAAGAAAGAAATTCTGCTGAAAAGGCAACAATAATTCAGTCGACTGGAAGAAGTAATGATTAAAATAAAAAATTGAAGCAACCCCGTGTGCTGGACTGATTATTCTCTCCACTGACTGATTATCATGCAGGGTGCATGTTAAATTGCTTGAACTGTGCATTTCCACTGGTGGCCCAAAAGCTGAAAGTCTGCCCTCATGTGGATACACCGAGAATCAGAGCGAAATACCCCACACAGTTGGTAACGCAATTTCACTGTAGGACAACATGACAACCAGCTGAACGCTTAATGAAATTTGCTTTCTAACAGCCTTTGTGGGAAATAACTGCAGCTAAATATGATACATCACGAATGACATTAACGTTAATCTCTCTCCAAACGCCAAACTTTAGTTTTTCCGAACAAAGGGCGCAGAAACGGGAGGGTTTTAACTGTTGCTAAAGTGAAAATAACGACCTCCTGCATCACATAAAACACCAATAAAGCGCTTGTTAGTGAGGAATCGATGCATTTATTTAGTCTGATCCTCTACTAGTTGCACAAAAAATAACAATAATTTACACTATTTATGGCATCCAGGTGCTTTTCTCTGCTTTGCGGAGCCGCTGCGTAATGATGGAACCGTTTCACCTGCATCACACAGAAACGCGCAATCTCCTCTTGAGCAAACACCTATTTCCAATACGACACACAAAAAAACAAAACAAAAAGGAGATAAACTTGAAAAGCTACTTATCCTTCCAGATGGCGGTCCTGCCCAAAGTATTTTCCACTGTTTTCCAGTAAACTCTGGTGGGATTACAAGTGCGCCAAGAGGCCAAAACGAGCTAAATATGGGACGTGGTGTGCAGCAATCTCTTGTATTCTCCGAGCTTTTTTTTTTCTAGCCTGGAGTTAAAGTACTTAAAAGTCAGGAAGGAGAATCAGTCCTCATGTGGTCTGGGGGTTGGGACACCAAAGTCCAATAGCCCCCTATTTAGACATTTACAGCTACTTTTTATTATACTGTCTAGACGGTTCAAGGTTTAGTAAACAATCCAGTGTTTCAAAGCAAAGGAAATAACGGGACCATACAAGCCTGCAAGCGCCAAACTTCCAAACCATTGATGAATCTGTAGGAAATTTCCCCAACGTCTTGTGTTATTTTGTTTTTTTATTTTTTTCTTTGTAAAACTTTGCTCATGTGACCGGTTTCGTGAATAGGATGCATTTGTCTTTGCCTACTTTATTTCACACCACAAGGTACATTACATGCGTCTTACAAACGTACATACACAAGGAAGGAAGCCTACATAGATTTTTTTATATAAATAATTTCAAAGCACAGCTCGCAATTTGCTGAAATATTCGTTGCCAATACCGCGGAAGAAAGAGAGATGTGAATACAAATAAATAAATGCAGGAATTGTCGCAAAAAAAGGAGGAAAAAAAATACCAGCAGCTTGGTTTTGCAAATGCAAGATATTTGTAAAATCAGCTGTTTAAATGTGATAGTTCAGATATGGGACCAGTCTTTAAAGCATGTGTGTGTGTGTAGCTGCTATTTACTCCGTGTGTGTGTGTGTGTGTGTGTGGCTCTGGCTATGTGATGTATCAGAATAAAGGATTCCCAGTGAAATACTGTAGGCGGTCGCGGTTCAGCTTTTTCTCTTTCATTCTTCTATTCTGAAACCAGATCTTCACCTGCCGATCTGTCAGGTTTAACATCCTGGACAGCTGGAGCCGCTTCTCTTTGTTAATGTACACGTTGAAGAAAAACTCTCGTTCAAGTTCTCGGATTTGGTATTTGGTGTAAGGACACCTCTTCTTCCTGGACTTGGTTGATGAACCTGTACAAGACAAAAAAAAAATAAGAATAATAATAAAAGGCGCTGCTTTGAAAATCAGGAAAACTGGAGATCAGGTCAGAAAAAAAAGAGTTAACAGGTTTAACAGATGGATTTATTTATTTATTTATCCATGCACGAAGGCCTACTTCTCCCACACACACACACACACACACACACACACACACACACAGTAAGAGAGACAACAGAGGAATTTGCATGAAAATGAACTTAAACTGCACTGATTTTTACGCATGCGTTAGTGCTTGGAGACACACTGTCCCGCTGCAGTGTGTGTTGTTCTTATATGTGCACAGCTCTGCCTCCAACAGATCAAATATAGATTTATAAAAACGATTTCTAATTCACTTTAATGCTCCATCAATACAAATCAAATCCAGCAATATAGCACTGTTATTGGACACAAGGAAACCTTTTAAGTACGGTAACTTAACAGTTTCCCATTGTAAATACCTTTACAACCGTAAAGTGAATCTTATTGGGATATAAAAGCTTTTGCATGCTTATAAAGACGCACATAACCCTGGACGGTCAAGGCGGTGGACACAGCGCAGCCCAGACACTCTAATCTGGAGATTGCACACTTTACATCCAAGACAAATAGTGGAAAATACTGACTTACTTTGTTGGTTTGTCCTGTCGCCGCAGTTGGAGGATGAGTCCTCGTCGACGCTCCCGGTCGGCTCAGCTTTGTGCTGTTCCAGTTTGGTTAAAGCCTGATTGTTATTCGCAGCATCACCGGGGACGGCAGAGTCTGTCTTTTGTTTAGGGAGCTCCGCGTTGGGCTTGTCCGAGTTAGGCGTGTCAAGAAACTGGTCGAAGCCCTGGGGAAGCACCCCATTTCGGCCGACACCGGTGAAGAAATTGCACGGCGAGCTCGTCCCCCCGTGGTGGCCGTACAAGGACTCGTTTTTGAATATCACATCCGCCCTGCTGCTCGAGGACTGGATCAAGTCCCGGTGCATTATCTCGTCCGTAGAGTAGTAGGACGCGTAATTGCCCCTGTAGTGCCATTTGGGATGGTCCAGTCCATAATCCCTATAAGCGACTTCTCGAACAGGTTGGACTTGGGCTATGTTGGGAGAATAGGGGAAATTAATCTGACACGAAGTGGTCTGCGGTAAAAAGGAGGAGACTGAAGTAAAATCGGGCGTCGAAACGTAATAAGTGCAGCTCGGTAAAAACATATTTGACGCACAGCTGCGATCATCGTATTCCGTCATATCTCTTCTTCCCTTTTCCTCTTTGCAACAGAGGAAAGGAATTGGCAGCTTCACTGTGTTAAACTTTGTCCATCTATAGCACCACAGGCGTGTGGAAAGACCCCGCCAGGGAGAAAAAATCGGAAACGTAGGCAGACCTGCAATACATCTTGATCGATTCTTGAGGTAATTGTGTCATGTGATCCAGCTAAGAAATTACCATACATCAATATCAGTCATTAAAAACTGTCCGGAGAAACTCATGTGAGCGCATGCAAGAGACTCCATTGGCTCCCTGGCTGCAGAGGAAACTCCTCTCCAGCCTTCTTGCCCTATAGCTCACGGAAAAAGAAATTTGTGAACCATCGCTGGAATATTTAATTGAAAGCTTTACAGCAACATCATCCTCATCGTGTAATGATATGTAATGGCAGGCCACACACGCTGACTGCGTCGGTAAATTTGCGCAATTTGGAGCAGCGTGTTTGTAGCAACAGTTAGTTAAACAGAAATATGGAAGTTGACCCCCGCACATGATGCAGGAGAGGAAAAAAAGAAAAAGAAAAAGAAAAGCTCAAGAGAATAGCAATGCGCCTGAACACGCTGCACAAATTAAAACCTGCGGAATTATGAGTCATCAAGTCCGTTTTTATGCAAATAAATGCTAAGGTTCATTGCGCGTAATCACTGTGCACCATGATGGTTGGAGCACAGTAAATACGCAAAAGCACGCCAGAAGGAAATAATTGGAATTCATTGTCACATGCAAGCCTCTGGGCCTGCAGTATGGTGCAAGAAAAAAAAAAAAAAACAGCTCAGGCGCCACAAAAGCTCACAAAACTACTGCGCTGATGCACATTCTTTTATATATTCTGCTGCAAAATACACACGTGTTTCTACTTTAAAGGCGCTTTGCATTAAAAAAAAAGAAGTGAAAACACATATTTTTCTGCAGCTTTTTAAGAAACAAAAACAGAGCCTAATATTTAGTGCAGATGACTACGTTTGAAAACAGCCAAAGAAAACAGGCCACGGCATGCTTACTGCAAAGGCAGAAAAGTGGATTTCCACTAACACAGAAGTCATTTGCAAGTATGAATCACTAAGCACCATTCAGCATTGCCAAGTCCAAAACAACTGGCTTTGACCGTCTGTGGTCTAGGTGATGTCCACCAAGCATTCACCAACAAGCCTCTGCAGCCAAATCATTTTATTGCACGAAGGCGGCCATGCCAGCAGTGCTCGACTCCTTGTCGGTGGAGAAAACCAAGTTAAAACGCCAGTGAACGGATACCTGCTAAAATCAAGCCTCCATCAAAATTTTCTGTGCATGTGAGTATATTTTTTATTTATTTTTTTTAAATTCACAGACAATAGAAAAACAGGAGTTCCTTAGAAGAACCCAGTAGTTTATAGTTTGTGCTGCAGCATAAAGAATAAGCATGAAGTTAATATAAAAACTGAAATTACTGTGCAAAAAAAATGTGCAATTGTGAAGTGCAGCTCTGATATCAACGCCAGCTCGTTGTGGTTAAAGATTAGTAGCTCCTTCACTGCTTCCCACGCAATGTGGACTCACAGCTTACAGGCGACTCGGTTTATTGTTATTGGGGGTAAAATCAAGCTCACTGCTCGGCCTCTCTGTCCTAAACTTCAGCATACTTCACACTGAAAGCCCCTCAGGCGGCTAACGGTGTGGGATAAAGTTTGCATTTATTTACAGAAATTAGACTAAAAAAGAAAAAAAAAAAGTGTGGATTTCAAAACAAACCACTTTTAATTCACGCTGGCGAGCAAATAAAAACAACGTCATTCATCAGCAACCATCACGAATTGTGCAATAAAATGTTGTAGAATGTTTTGGAGGCTGAATTAGTTTCAGTTGTTAGATGGACAAAGTTAAGGCGACTTGTTGCTCGTCTTTTGTTGTGATTGTTGTAGGTTGTGGATTTGGTTTTATTGTCTTAAATTATCTGTTTGTTGTGGAGCATTTTAAAATGTAGAATTTAAACATTATTTAATTCTTCTCCTCATCATTATTATTACTTTACTGTTATTGTTGTGATTTTTAATACAACCTATTATTATTTTTTAATCATAATTAATGCATTTATTCAGTTTTGCACTTGAAATATTTCGTCATATCCACTGTTGGAGGCTTTTATTGTAGAATTTGTGTTGCGCTTTTTCGTTGCGCGCGTCATATTAACTCAGGCCTGTTTGCTAAAAACCCACCAAATCCTCATAAAATCCTATTTTGAAACTGTTCATAGATTACTGGTTCGAACCTACAGGGAAGCACATTTCCATATCCTCACAAACGAGTAGCTTTGTACGCATATTGTGAGAGCAATGCACAGCCTACTAACTTGACCTTAACTTTGTTTTGGCACCCCCACTATCTTAAGGAGCCTGTGCAACGCTGTCTGGCAGTAAACCAATAAAGCAACAAATACTATGGGAAAAGCGCTGCGAATCGGACGCAGAGAGAACCTATTGTAGGTTTCCAAAATAGCCTCCAGAGCAGTTAAAGTTAATAGCAGTGAAACATGTTGCCTGTAAGGATTTTACGCTTTACAAAAAAAATAAAAATAAAATAAAAAAAATAATCCAGACCAACTCGAGGTGGAACACAGGAGGCCCTCAGTGTGTGAGACAACAAAATGAAATAATGTTTTAAATATAGAAAGAAATCACCAAAGTAAAGGACACATTTAGGCCCTACAAAATAAAAGACCAAAAGTGAAGGAGAAAACTTCTGTAACAGCGGCTAATGGAGAAACCATCCCTTCACGTTTCATTACAGATTACTAGCTTTAAAATGTTGCTCAGACGTTCATATCCGTGCATTGTGGCTGCACTGGTACAGAAACCTGTGCACTGCGGGGATGCAGTGATGATGACGTGATAATGATGTAATGAGAGGGATCATTAATAGATCCACTCTGTTGTAACGTTTCATGCGTCCTGGCTTGCTGCTGCTAGCTGCTCATACCTTCATAGTTTGACTTCTCTTATTTAAAAAAAAAAAACTACACAGAGCAACTGGTGACCAAGCAGGCATAAACTTGGTCAGATTCTCAGCCACAATGAGGAAACTAAGATTAAATGTTCTGAGGAAACACAAACAACGACCAATTTAGTTTTTGCCCACAACGCATACATTACCAAAATAGGCGCAGAGCAACCTGTTTTTTTGGCCTGGAAAGTGCGCACAGTATCGCTGAGATATGCAAGGCAGTGTATCACTTTTGAAATGACACCAGATCCATTTGGTCACAGCCACAGTGACCTCCAACATGTGGAGATTCTCCTGTGGGTGAGAGCTAATGCTGCTGCTGCTGCTGCTGTGTTAAGTACTGTGAGGAGGAATTACGCAGATAAAGGATAGAGGGATAACTGAAAGCAGACTGAGGCGTTTGATTCCAAAGAGAGTCACAAAGAGGGGAGGCATTAACAGTCTGAGTACAAAAGTATCAAATACTCTGCTTCCATGCGCAAAAGGCATTTGAAAGTGAAGAGTAGTTGATTTTTACGCACACGCTGATCCATCCATCCATGGTTCTTTCACCTCAGCAGGTAGAACTATGGAGGTTCCCCACAAAAAAACATCTTTTTATTTTTCAATATTATAAAATAATATGTTGCAAAGAGTATTTAGAGTATTGTCCCCTTTCAATATTTCATCAGATTCATATTGTGATCCAATAGCGAGACACTATTTCACTGCGTAAGCGCGAAACCTTGAGATTATTTTTCCTCTTCAATATGATTTCTAAATATACAAAATATCTCAAATGATACACAACAAGTTGTTTGCAGGTGGTTTTAAAAGAATCTTTATTTACAAATGCATTCATCTTCATGTTACGTCCACTTTACAAAACCTTCGTCCGTGGATAAAAACGACGGCTGGTGTACTTTTCATTCTTATGCTTACCAATAACATGCTCTCTGGAATTAGTTTCAAACGAGTCAAAACTGAAATATACATTAATTATGTATTTATAGAAACTGAATCCGTAAATGAAGAGTGATTCTGATGCAACCACTGGATGTGCGTCATATCCACGGGCTTGTGTGGCAATGCAGAGGTACAGCAATAACAATTCACGCTTGGTTTACAACAAATATAATGTAGTTTAAAATAAACACCATCAGAATGTGTCACATCCACAAACTCACTTGTTTGGCAGGCTTTACAAGTAAAATACCTCTCAGCACTAAATGAGGCGCAAATCTCTTCCTCCACAGACAAAAACCTCCAACAGGACGCGACCACACAGAATATGAGCAATGTGACTTTTTTTTTTTCTTCCTTTTTTAAAAACAGAATTACAATAATATTGGCAAAATCAGACATTTAATTAAATAACAGCAATTAGGAAAAGGGCATGCATTTAGAATATACTTTGCAATACTGACTTTTAATAACGTTCGCATCCGTAAACATGAACTTGACTGCTTGCTTCCATATCAAGCCTACACAACACTTGCGGGCTGTAAGACAAAATGCACACAAAAAATAAACTTATCGATCCGCATTCCAGTTTAAATACGTGTCACATTTGTGGTGGATGAGGAAGAAATTAAAGATTAATTAATATCCGCAGCTACAGGCCAGACGGGGGCGGGGGGGAGTTTGGCCTACTGCGCATTTGGCACATCTGAAAGCCAGAAAAAAAAATGCGCTGCATCTTGAGCTGTAACGCAATTATCTGTTCCTATCACTGTAAATTGTCAAATATTTTTGGACTGGTTGAAACTGTGGCCTACAATGTGACACGAGGCGATTATTTACATCCAACCCAAACCTCTGTCTTTCCCAAATCTTAACCAAAGTGCTTCCATTACCAATTGTGCGCTTTATTTTTTCTTACGCCAGCTATCCAGTCCAGCCACCTTCCTGCGCCTCTGGTGCAGTTCATAAAAGCAGAGCTTCATTCACTGAAAGATTTAAAAAAATGCATCTGAACACAATCCAGTCAGTGATTGTAATTTGAACGTAATTGAGGAAACAATTTAGAAACATGAGAAGTAATTTTCTATCAGACAGAGCTAACAGCAGATTCAGTTGTGGTATTGATGCGCTGCTGCTGCTGCTGCTGCTGGTCATGATCAAGTCCAAAGGTCATCAGTATGCGGAGAAAGCCTGTTCGCGCATCATCAGTCGTTTCTTCTTCATCCTCCGGTTCTGAAACCAGATTTTCACTTGTTGGTCGCTCAGGTCGAGTCTGTCTGACAGCTCCTTACGTTTCTGTCTGTTGATGAATTCATTCATCATAAATTCATTCTCAAGTTCAGCGAGCTGTGGCTTCGAGTAAGGCTTCCTCTTCTTTCTTGTTTTCACTTGTGACGAGCACCACGGGGCACCTGGAGGCAGCAGATGTAGAAACAAGTTTAATACCTTCACACCAACTTTCTGCTACAGTGATATAAAGTGAAAGGAAAGATCTGGTCCCAAATGCGCAGCTTATACCTACACTGAGATCTTATATCTTAGGAAAAATATATGGGCTAATAATGAGAGAAGTCACACTTACTGTACATATAGTGAAATACAGGACTGGGATTACTATGGCTCCCACACACAGCGGCCTTTATAAGGATATTATGGCAAATTTAAATAATACTGGAGCCGCAAGAGATATGAAAGGACCATAAAAACCATCTTAGTCACATGAAGCCATTATATAACACCAAAGACAACCTATAGGTCTCCATATAACTCTCAGATAAGAACATTAGTCAGTGGAAATGCACTAGTCTTCTATAATGCTGCAGATCAATTAGAACAAGACACACTGACTGTTCCCAGATCCAGTCCCTGTTGTGGCATCATTCTAGATTTATCATTAAACAGCAATAAAGTGTAGAAATAGAATGAAATAAGTGCAGAAACTTAACCTTGAGCAAAACTCGTCCTGGAGCATGTGTTACTTGATGATGTGTGAATGGGATTCTGCTCCTGTTTGGGACCGTCCACACTGACTGGACCTGCTGAATCCGGATCAAGCTGCGCCGCAGAACCGTGAGAGCGGCTGTCCAGGTCTGAATAAGCGCGGACCCCGTGCTCCCCGGCGTAAACTTCATCTTGCCTGGCAGCCTCCTCCGTCTTGTGGTTGGCGTCCTGGAAGCACCGAGCGGACTCCTCCAAATGCGCCTTGACGTGGCCGCTGGAGGAGTTCGTATTTATAGACACCGAATTGGACAGAAACGGCGGACAGTAGCCACCGAAGGCGCGGCTCTGTGGTGGCGGTGCCGCCGGCCCAGACGCGCACGAACTTGAGGAAGTCCACGGGAGCGTGCACACCTCTCTCCTATTGTAAGGGAGCTGATGCAGCCCGGGTATGTGGGCTCCATTACCGCGCAAGTTGGAGAAATACAGCGAGTCAGGGGGAGCGAAATTCAACAGAGAACCAACATAGCCGGGATTTAAAGGATTCCGCTCACACATTTCCATGGAGCTTTCCTCAAACGCTTCTTGCAAGCCTTTTAGCAACTCCTGAAGAATAAAGGGAAGGTAATTGTTGATTTGTTAATACGGAGTCACGTGATATGCAAAATATGTTGTTCCGCCCCACCCTTGCTCCCAATACTGCAAAGCAAAAATACTCCATGAGGTAATATTTGGGTACTGGGGTGGGTGGGAGAGTGAAATTATTCCAACCAACCGTTCTTTTTTTTTTAGTCTCTGGAATTATATAAATATAAAATTTTAAAAATGTCAGAAAATAGCTTGAGAATATCTGACATGTTGGTTTCAGTGTTGTGCGCTCTTTAATAAGGCGCATGCAGGGTTTGTGACATAAGAAGGTGACCCATGCGGTGCAAACGCAGGGCCTGAAAACGCAACACAGGGGCAGTGCATATCCACGTCCACTGGATTCATGACAGACAAATACACAAATGGATCCATATAAGTTTAAAAAAAAATCCCCTTTTCTCACATGCAGCCTCAACAATGCAACACAAGCCTCGTGCAGATGACACCGAGCAGCAGCAGCAGCAGCAGCAGCATTGTGTTGGTTAACATTAGTACACTGCAGCCCTGGAGGTGCTGCTGCTTTCCTTGTGGTCATCCCCTTTTTTCTGTACAATGTCGCCTTTATTTCTCGGCCCCTTGAAGTCATGGACATGTGAGTAAGGAAGCTGTAATGACATACATCTGCCTGTCGAGAAGCCACATCAACTTTGTTTTTTTTTTTTTTAGAGGATCATCTTGTTCCACTTGGGTTCTGTTCCAATCTCCTTCTGGAGAGCTTTGAAAACGGTGTTTCAAGCCCCTGCATGCCACCTGCAAACCTGATCTCCTCTGTAAATCTCAAGCTAAACTTTAACACAGATGATAGTGTCTGTATATAAAAGAAAAGAGAGAGGTTTACTGTTTTCCGCAGGGAAGAAAAGGGGGAACATTACAGCCGTCATCTGTCTATAAATGCTTGTGCATGGCTTCCCTACTGTACTGTAATAACGACCGGGAGTCTCTTGTCAAATGTTAGTACTTTCAAATAAACCACAAAATAACCTCCTGCCTTCTAATCCCCATTCAGCAAACGCATTACCATCGTTAAAGCCCAAATAGTAATTAGAAATAAATGTAGAAAAAGCGCACATGTAGTAATCCAGGTGTTTATTTTTTCTAAAATACTGTCATGCGCACATTTTTATTTTTTGTGCCTGTATTGTCATTAACTTGCTGCTACAGACACCGAACAACGCACATCTGGTCAACTATATAATCGTCGCAGCTATAATACTCATATAATGTCACTATTACAGCCTATAATATTATATGAGAGGAGACTGAAGGAGATTAGAAGGCCTACTTTATCCATTAGAGTATTTTTATGTTTTTTTTTCCCTCTGTCGGCCCAATTAAATCTTAAATTGTTGGATATATGTGTGTAGATGGAGTTCAAAATTACGCAAAGTCTCAAGACTGGGATCAGCTGGTGTTTCGGGACAAATGAAGTGATGGTTGATCCCAGTATTTTGAAAAATCCTCCTCAGTCAGTAAATGAATAAACAAAATCATCTCCCATGAACACAAACAATAAAATAACTCTGATTTCTTTTCTCACAGTTTAAACAAGCTTGTTCCGTTTGTTTCCTGTGAGGAGAGATGTCTGTCCACAGAACCCATCAGCTGAACGAGATCACACCGAGGTTTGAATCAGAAAACGGAGGAAATCTTTACTAACACTGTAATGTTTTATCAGCTCAGTTATTGCGACTGTAACCCAATAGGTGGCAGTGCGAGTTTAAGCCAAATGTGGCTTTTCGATTGTGCCATATTTCCTTTAATCTTCCCATTCTAATAGTTCATTTATAATTTGAGCAGCTTAATTTATCTCTTAATTGTCATTTCACTCTTGTTTGAGCTCGTTAACAAAAGTGACATAAAGACCAAAAGTGATGAATTCAAACTATGACATCATGGACATAACGCAAAGCGAATATGGAGCTCACAATAGAAACATGTGCGTTTTATATAAAGCAGGATTAAATACGTAAACAAACACATGCAACAGCTTCCAAAACAAACAATAAACAAAACTAAGAATGATTTGTTCTCGGCAGGGAACATTACAGTCACAGAAATGATCCAAAAAGCACTTTTAAAAAGCTTATTTTAAGAAATCAGTAATATTTCTGGTTTGAAATGGAACTGATTTGTTTAAAACGTTTCTTATATTTGAACCTGTTTGAAAGTTTCTGTCGCTCCGATGTGTTTCCAGCTTTCACTTCAACTACCGAGAAAAAAAAATACAAATTTGCCAACGAAAAAAATGCAACAACAACTAGAAAATGTGTGAATTTCTGTTTCCAGCATTTTAAAATAATAACAGATATAATAAAACTAAAAGAAGGGACGATAAATAAGCGTTCTATTATTGTGAAAATTAAAAATTAATGGTTCCTGGTTGGCAGCTAAAGGGTTTAATCGTGTGTTTCCAATAACCTACTTGTTTTATCACGAACTCATCCAGGAGACAAATGGACATTAATTCACAGGCATGCGTCCCAAACAGAGACTAATTATTATTTTTTCTCTTTTCATTGATGGTGTACACATCCAATGCGCACATTCGTGTTATATTTAGGACAGACGTGTTTCGGTTTGTCCACCTCCAGACTGCTGCCTTCCCCACAATTAGAAAATCAGGAGAAGTTTTAGTGTTCACTTTTAGTGTCATTTACTGCTCTTCGTCCTTCATGTTTAGGGTGTCAGGAGCCAAATTGAGGAGCTTCAGTCTGGTTGTTTTCCAGCCCTTTGAAGGAAGCTATCCGCCGTCTATTGTCCTTGGTAATAAACTTGCTGCTTCCCTCGTTCAAGTTCTCTGGGCTGAGAAAAGCTGCCCTGAATCTGCAAGTGTTGGGATCTCAGCTGCGTTTTCACACAGTGGAATATATCTATATCTATCTATTATTATTATTATTGCTTAATTCCTTTTAATATAATCCATAGAGACTGTACAACAAAGTTCATTTAAAATATAAAAAACTTTAGGTCACAACATGATAAATCCCGTTCAGTGGGAGGTGGAGGATAAAATATCTGTTATTTCTGGTGCTGTCCATTTGGGAACAGTTTCAAGTCCAGCCTGAATTATCCAAAGCAACAGTCCAGAACCAAGAGTCCCTCAGAGGGTCTGACTGACTACAGGTAGGCTGACACTGCTGCCGTGGGTGGATTATTCACCGGATATGTTCCTCAGTGGGATTTCATTATTGTGACGCTCCAAACTTAGTTTGTCTGCAGGACGCGATGAATCTCACAAGAGCAACGAAACAGAATCAGTTTCAATGGAAATCTGATGTACACACAACTTGATTATGATTTTCCGTAAATGGCCTACATTTTTCCCAATTAGAGATTCAAACTGGAGCCACAGAGATAAGTGCAGCGACTGGTTTGATCTGCGCAGTGGAAAATTAAACATCTGAAAGATTATAAACACTGGTTATATTCCTAGAATACAGACTGTTGCCCTGCATGTGTTTATTAACTTTACCGAGGCTGCGCAATCGGATAATCCGTTACTTTGTGATTAAAACTGCGCTGAAAACGTTATCACCAAGCTAAAAAACATTTTAAAAAATAATCACAATGCAATGTTAATATTTTAAAAGAAAAGTCGACAGTGGATTTTAATGAATGTTGATTAAAAACACCCCGAATAAGTCTGAATCTATCAGCCTGGTTTATAAAACATGTTCAGAAGTTATTTGTTAAACCTTCAAAAAGCTTCTAAGTGGCACAAAATTATAAAAACTATTACTTCTGTGCCTCCTTTAAAAAAAGCTGCACATAAGCAGCTCCTATCGTGTGAACGAACATTTACCTGTTACTTTCTGTACATTCACACTTTTTGTTTTATTTTTTTCTCAATGTATTTATTTTTATTCAGAAGATCTCCAACTATCTCAGCAACTAAAAACAACCATTCTTAAAGACTTTAGTAACTTGAGAACATCTATTTTGGCACTACTTTTTTTTGCCTTGAAAAAAGAACAGCATTTTATTTCTAACATTAATGTACATCCTGTGCATTGTTTCTGATTTGTATTAGTGAAGCAATGAGGCTGGAACACTTCAGTTTTTATCACTCTGCCATGTCGGACAGGAAAATTCATTTTATTCCTTCCTGACAGCCTCCAACAATCACTTCCTCTTAAACGTACAAAAAGAAAAATCCAACCAGCTGCATCAGGGATATCTGACATGTCTGGGAGTCTTACTTATCCATGCAGGGATAACTGCTTGGTCCTCCTCTGGCCTAGGAGAGGCTCTGCTTGTCACACATGGTTGGTCAAGGCAACAATTAGGTTTGACTCCCTGTTCTGTTGTTGGGGACGTCTGCATTCACAGGAATGTGCCACTAGATGGCCCTCTCACTTAAGGAAAGAAACCCACAAAACACAAAGGCCCAGCTGCTTTGACAACACATGAAGGTTGAATAAAACAACAGCTTCATTCACTGGTTCGACTCTAAGAAAAAGTATCTGAAACCTTCTGTTCTACACAAACAGGAGAAGGATCATTCATCAGCATCACATTACTGAACTAGTCTCAGTCCCAGCTTTGTGTTAATGTGCTTTAGCCCGACCAGTCCTCTGGTGCTCTTGATGAAAACTCACATGTACATGATAGTCTGGCCTCACACAGAACCCCACCGGTTCAGTGATCTGACAGCAGTGAAGCGTTACTGTTTACCTCATTATGTGCATTAGTGAACACGAAGCAGAGCCGAGCTGAACAACTACATCTATAATGTCTCAGATAAAAGTTTAATCATGCAAGACCACAACACACAGACGGCTTTTGAACTTTGTGTCCTCTGTGCATTTTATTTTAAAATGTATAAATGTGAGAGGCCTGAGATGTCATTCTACTTCACAAGTTGAATATATAGAAAATGCAAACCCTCTCAACATGTGCAATTTAACTCTGACTTA